TTTACAGTCACCAGGGGTGGTCATCTCTTCTTCCCTCCTAGGGAGTATTACAAAGCGTTTTCAAAACCCTGTACATGAACCTTTATCCACTTAACAATGCATATCCCATCATGCTCCTAATATCTCATCTATTCTAATTACTGCAGTAACCTCCTGGCTTGTCTCCTGTATACTTGTCAGTAAGCCTACTGCAAAAGCATGCTTGGTCTTCTACCTACCACTATGTCCTCTAATCCTGATGGTTCTTTCTTCCTATCTGTCCATGCTCCACACTTCAATGTAGTTTTCACATTGCTGAACTCACCAAACTTTGTAGTGCCATATCATTAGATCCTTTTTCAAACCCTGAGCATTCATATCCCTAGGGGCCTTGGAGACCTTTTATTCTTAAAAACCATAGACCCAAACACTGATGTGTGCTCACTCCCCCAGCTGTTAACACTCCACCTTTCTCATACTCCTCCCCTGACCCTGTACTGCTCGGGATAACCAGATCTGTTACTCATCTCATTATACTTACATTTCATACAGTTTGGCATTTTGTTGATCATTGACCCCATGTTTAGGAACATGCTGCCACTGGCACCCTTTGGTTGCATCTCCATAAGAATTTCCCAGTTCTGCTGGCTGACTCATTCTGGACAGAGACCAGTTTCTGCATTCAAGGTCACTAAAACTCTACTCCTCACTACACACAATAGTTAACTTTATTATTATTATACAATATTTATAAAGCGCCAATGGTTTGCTCAGCGCTGTATATTACAAAGGGGGGCAGAACATGTGACAGAATAATACCAATACAATGCAAAACATGAGGGGATCGAGGGCCCTGCTCTTTCGAGTTTACAATCTAGGAGGGAGGGGATAGTGGTACAGGAGGAGATAGCTGTGGGGGATGGAGTGGTAGGAAGAGTGGAGGAGGTCGGCAGGTTAGCAGGGGGTGGGGTAGGCTTCCCTGAAGAGATGGGTTTTCAGGGTGCGCCTAAAGGAGAGGAGAGTAGGTGATAATCTGATGGGTTGGGGCAGGGAGTTCCAGAGGATGGGTGACACCCTGGAGAAGTCCTGGAGGCGGGCATGGGAGGAGGAGACCAGGGAACTAGAGAGAAGGAGGTCTTGTGAGGAGCGGAGTGTGCGTGCTGGGCGGTACTTGGATATTAGGTCAGTGATGTAGTACGGGGCAGTATGGTGGACAGCTTTGTACATCAGTGTTAGAATTTGGAATTTGATCCGTTGCGCAATCAGAAGCCAGTGGAGGGATTGGCAGAGGGGGGTGGCGGAGATGGAGCGGTTGGAAAGGTGAATGAGTTTGGCAGCCGTATTCAGGATCGACTGAAGCAGGGATAGCCAGCGACAAGGCAGGCCAGTGAGGCGGGAGTTGCAGTAGTCGTGTCGTGATATGATGAGGGAGTGGATGAGCTGTTTAGTGGTTTCTGGGGTTAGGAACGTGTGTATTTTGGCGATGTTGCGGAGGTGGAGTCTGCACGAGTTTGTTAAAGATTGGACTTGGGGCTGGCAGGATAGGTTGGAGTCCAGAATGACACCAAGTACTCTGGCCTGCGGGGCGGGTTTGATGGTGGCGTTGTTGGATGTGACGGAGAAGTCAATGGGGGGTGGTGTCCGGGCTGGGGGGAAGACAAGAAACTCGGTTTTGGAGAGGTTCAGTTTAAGGAAGTGGAGCGACATCCAGTCTGATATGTCGCTCAGTAGGTGTGTGATTCGGGCGGAGACCGAGGGGGTGAGGTGGGGGGTTGAGAGATATATTTGTGTGTGTCGTCGGCATAGAGATGGTAGTTGAAGCCGTCTGCGTGTATGAGTTGGCCAAGGAAGGAGGTGTAGATGGAGAAGAGAAGGGGCCCGAGGACAGAGCCTTGAGGGACCCCAACAGAGAGGGGGAGTGAGGGGGAGGTGGTAGCATTATAGGTAACGCTGAAAGAGCGTTGTGACAGGTAGGATGAGAGCCAGGAGAGAGCAGAATCTCTGAGGCCGAGGGAGTGTAGTTTTTTGAGGAGGAGGGGGTGGTTGACTGTGTCGAAGGCCGCAGAGAGGTCAAGGAGTAGGAGCACTGAATAGTGGCCATTAGCTTTGGCGGTTAGCAGGTCGTTGGAGAGTTTAAGTAGGGCAGTTTCTGTGGAGTGTAGGGGACGGAAGCCGGACTGTAGGGGATCGAGGAGGTTGTTGTCGTTGAGGTGAGAGCTTAGGCGGGTGTAGACTAGGCGCTCGAGGAGTTTAGATGTAAATGGGAGCAGGAAGATGGGTCTGAGGTTGTTCGGGTCATTGGGGTCCAGGGAGGGCTTTTTAAGCATGGGGGTGATGTGTGCATGTTTCAGAGGGGAGGGGAAAAGTGCCGGAGGAGAGGGAGAGATTAAAGATGTGGGGGAGGGAGCGTAGGATGGAGGGGGAGGGAGGTCGTGGGAGTTGTGAGGGGATAGGGTCGAGGGGGCAGGTGGTGAGGCGGGCATCAGAGAGGATCTTGGAGACTTCCTCGATGGTAGTAAGGTCAAAGGTGCGGAGTGTTGGGGGGGCTTCAGTATGAGGAATGTACTTTATTACATGGACTCCCTTTTCTACCCAGGTCTCCCTGACATACAACCCTTAGACTCTGCCCCAAGTTTTAAAATGCCCTCTTACTCCATATCAGAGTCAAGGATCACCAAGTTGCCTTTTTTTACAAGCTGAGCAGTCCTGCTCTTGCCCCTTCAATAAAATTGACCTTCCTAGTACTGTTCCTATGTACTTATTTCACTTCACATTTGGTCTGTAGGTGCCTCGCACTTGCCTGTCCATCTCATCAGACATCTTCAGTTATGTGACTGTTCGACAGACTCTTGCCCAGACATCTCCCATCATCTCTACATCCCTGATATCTTCCAGTTAGGCACATCACAAACTCTAGGTTGAATGTCCCTCTTTTTTGGGGACAAATTGCTCCCTCCTTGCTCTGTATTCTATTATGTGAAGTAGTTCTCAGCTAGTGTGATTGGAAACCCTGTCCTAGAAAATGGTCCCATTCCTCATCCAACTACTTTCATCTTTTATTAGGAATCACTAAACGCCAGGCTCTCTTCACACTGCTTTTGCAAGGCGTTGCTCCTCTTCGTCACCTTCGTGACTTTCTATTTCCCTCTGGTGCCTTTTGCCCATGCAGAACCCCCCCCCCCCCCCCCCCCCCCCCCCCCCCCTGTGCTCAAGATTGTTACATCTAATCAGAACCTCTGTAAGAATGAAACCTTCTTTTTTCCATTAACCCTAACAGCTGTAGTTCTGATTTTGCTCACTCGTTTATCCTTTTCGTACACTACATAGGAACAAATTATTCTGGAGCCTTGTACTTGTTTCCCTAGGACTCTTCCCATTGTCTTGTGTGGAAATGCCATTCTTCCTCCCTATGTCCTGCCTTAAAGTTATATCCGCAACTTACAATTCACCTTCTGGGTGGGTTCAGGACTGTCATCTGAAGATGCCTGCCATGTATATCCCTGGTCCCTCTATGGGATTCCTCCCTCTTCTACCTGGATGGGTGGTTATTTTGCCTTTCTTTCGGCACCCTCTACAGCATTTACCACTGGCCCTTCTCAAGTGTAGCAGGGTCAGTACCTGTACTTTTCGTGCTTCCAAAACCGTTTTTTTGACAGCTGGCTATTTGAGCTCCTGCTGATCCCTGAATTGCCTCAAGGTGCTTCCACTGTCGAAACAAAAATTTGGACATACCTGTAAATTCCAAATCGTGGCATATTTTAAAGGACACAGTTTCCTCCTTTCTTCCTCTTTTGGTCTCCGTATTTGCTAAAAAAAGCTGGAGCCTCACGGAGTGGGCAGTGTTATACAGGTACACTAGGGGTTGGTTCCCAGCAAAACTTTTTCCAGTGTCAAATCATCTGAAGGTAGCAGCATATAACCCATGGTCCAAGAATCAATTTCTGTGTCCTGTACTGCACTGCATTATATGGAATTTACAGGTACAGTATGTCCAAATGTATTTTTTTTCTCTAAATACCAAAAAAAACATTCATGTTCTTTGAGGGTTATATGTCCCACACCTCTATTATCTTGCGCTGGCCTAAAAAATATATATATATTTTTTTTGTATGCCAGAAAGTGAGTACAAAAATAAAAATGCTAGATTTAAAAAGTTATATTAATAATGCATAGAGTTGTATTTCTATAACACAAGCTGTTATAACTTAGTGGTTGTCAGAACTGTACCAGCCACAATGATTCTTGGTATAAAATAAAATATTGGTAAGCATCGAGAGTTAATCTCGCAAGCTAAATAAAAGAAAATAAAAAATAGTCACTTGTTGCTCACATACAAACATTAATTTAGATTGACTTTGAAGGCAAATCCACATTTGAAACTCCTTATGGCCCTCTTTATGCTAGCGGTTGTGGGGTGGCAGTGAAACAACACTGTTGAGTTGCAGATTTACTTCCCCTTAAGTGTTCCCCCTTTAGCTGCCACGTCAACAGAGGGGTGTATACATATGCTATGGCCATAATGCTTTGCATCATTACGTGGCTTAAATGATCCCGGCTGTCACGTTCATGTGGGCAATACTGCCTGCTGGATGCGACCCATTCAAATGGGGTGAATGCACCCGGTTGCGGCATGCTATTACGGGGTTTAAGGCATTAGAGCATGTGGTGAGGAGGCGTTCTTATTCTACTATAAAGAATGCAGCAAGAGGTGTAGGAACACTCAATATTCCCAGGCTCATAGAACGAAGGCAGGACTTGTGACAGAGAATCTTGCTGGAGTATACAAGACACATGAGATGGTAGGAGCTGACTCAACCCACCAGGCAACTATCACTATCAGTAAAATATCACTTTCCGCTAACTAATCCTTCAAATCCTGTTAGATGTAAGGCTGTGATTACTTGTATAACTCCAGTCATTTCTCTTTTTGAAGATTGAAATGTACTTTCAGTGCTATTCGTTATAGTTTGTAGCTCTATGCAGTAGCTTGTAAGAAGTAACCACTTTTGTTTCTTTTCCAGATGGCTCTAGAAACCCAGTTCTGGACATGGATGAATCATTTTGTCACCTGGGGTTCCATTGCATTTTATTTTATATTTTCCTTATTTTATGGTGGAATCATCTGGTAAGAGCAAACCTGTTCTGTAATTTTGGGTGTGAAGCCTTTTTACTATAACCCCAAATAAGGTCTTGGATTGAAATTTTTGGAAACCCAATTTATTAGAGACAACCTTTCTATTACATTTTATTTGATGTGTTTTTATGGGTGTTTCCCACTACCCTAGCAAGCTAATACCTGGGGTCGTAACCTTAAACACATCTGATCATATTTTTTCTAATGTACAAACTCCTACATATCATGTGTCTTTATTTTCATTATCTTGTTGGGTAGGGGCATTTGATTAAAAATACCATAAATTAAGAAAGAGTAAGACATGGCTATAGAAGAAATATTTACAAAACAAACAGCTTTACGTCTCCTGGCTCTATTTTTTGAGTTTTTCCTGGTCCTTTTATTAGTAAATGCTTTTGCATGCCTGAAAAATGATCTTTTTTGGATTTTAAGGTTCTGTGAATACAAGCCTAGCAGCAGAATTTTGGGCCATGTAAGGATTAGATTTTTTTTTAATACAGTGTTTCTCTACCTTTTTTTCAATCAAGGCACTCTTTAAAATTCTCCACAATCCCAAGGCACCCCATTCTAAAATGTAAAAAACTAAACTAATAGTTTTACATAATGCAGCAACATCCACATACGTAGGACACCAAACATTAGAGGTGATTTATTCTTACAAAACAAACACACCTCTGCACACTGATACTGCACACTGATACTGATTAATATTCCAGTGCTTCCTTTCTCCCTCACATTCTCTCCCTTACTCAGCTAATGTGACCCCCATGCTGACGGAGAGGGACAAACAAGGATGCTGTGCAGACGCCCAACCTCTTTATCAACCAATGGCATCATTGGTTGTTAGGTTGCCAGCGGTTAGAAGGTTGTAATAGTGCACAAGGAAAACCTGTGGGTTTGTGTAACTAAAAAGCAGGCTTGATCCATCAACTGGCTTGTAAACAATTTTTGAGAAGTTTTTAGGCATTTTGCCAAGGCACTCCTGAAAAAAACTGAAGGCACCCTGGTTGAAAAATGCTGGTTTAATATACTGATTGTATTTTTTAGAAGTGATGTACTAAGTGGGCAATTTGATCACTGAACAGTTGGTTCAGTGCCCAGTATTCACATGAATGTTTTGCATCCATAAGTTTAGCTCTCGTATGTTTTTCTTTGCTCTAAATACTATTCATTATTTAGGGCCATTTAGAACAGCACCCCGATTTTCAAAAATCAAAATGTATTTGACTTATTTTCCTGGGTCTTTTTTGACCTGCTAGTGACACTAGTGGGAAAAACAAATTCCATCCCCTTACAGTGCCTTGAAAAAGTATTCATATCCCTTGAAATTTTCCACATTTTGTGATGTTACAAGCAAAAACGTAAATGTATTTTATTGGAATTTTATGTGATAGACCAAAACAAAGTGGCACATAATTGTGAAGTGGAAGGAAAATAACTGGTTTTCAAATTTTTAAAAATATCTGAAAAGTGTGGCGTGCATTTATATTCACCCCCTCCCTGAGTCAATACTTTGTAAAACCACGTTTTGCTCCAATTACAGCTGCAAGTATTTATTTTTTTATATTAATTTCTTTTATTAAATTTTATTTCAATACATAAATCAACAATGTATCATTTATCAAAACACATACAATCCAAATAACTTCTTTACCCCTCCCTGTCCCAAGTAATTCTTTCCATTTCTTTCCTACCCTGTTTACCAGTCTAAGTCTAAAACCCTGTTTTCTCTCTTTACTTTACGACTGTCAATTTATTCAGTTTAATTCTCCAACTCTACTGCCGGGGCACCCATCACTTTGAGGTATTTTCCAGATGTCTTAAAATCATACCACCTACTCAATCCTTTCTAAATTATTCCATTTTATCGTCCTCTATATGGTATAGCTCCTCCATCTTATTTATATACTCAATCCTATCTATCCAGTTCCTCATTGTTGGAGGGTCCTGTGCCTGCCAAAATTTGGGGATTAGACCTTTTGCCGTGCTAATTAGATGGCATAATATACTATTTTTATATTGTTTCACTGACATCTCCGATCTATAAAATAGGCACACCCACGGGTCTTTTTGAATAGTTATCCCCAAGATCTCCTGTATATATTGAATTATGTCTTGCCAAAACCCCTGTATTTTTGGACAATCCCACCAGATGTGTGCCATTGTTCCCCTAACCCCTCATCCCCTCCAACATAGTGGTGAAATTTCTACTCGTTTATGTGCCACACTCGGTGTAAAATACCATCTGGGTAAATATTTATAATTAATTTCAGCTGTGTTCATTTTCATCACCCCGTGCGTTAACTTAAACATTTTATTCTTCTGTTTCTCATTCATTTTTGTACCCAATTCTCTTTCCCATTTCTCTAAGAATAACGGAGGTTTAGATCCCATCCATTCAATAAGGATCTTCTATAACCTAGAGGTTACATGTTTATGTACTATCCTAGAACATTTTTTTTCAAATGGAAGCATGTCCCCCGGCATCCTCAGTGGTTGGGGGAGTGTTGAGACAAAATGTCCTAATTGGTAATATCTCATTTCACCTAATGTAAAAAATAAATCTTTTTTTGCTCTTTAACTCTTTGAAAAGGGCATAACTTCCCCTTGTCTACTATGTCCCTTAACCGTACATTTCTATCTTTAAACTATTTCCCAGAAATGTTATCTTTCACTGGTGGAAAAAAAACTCTGTATGCACCAGGGGCATCAACAGTGAATTGTTCCAGCCCATTGACTTGTGAAACCCATCCCATATTCTCAAAACCTCCTGTGTCAGTGTGCTACTATTTTCATCTATATCCCAAACCTTTTGTAGGATCCAAATAATCCTCTCTAATAGTGTATTACTTAATATACCTTCCATTTTAGCCCAACTTTTCTCTTGCGAGTTGTGTGTCCAATCTACCACCTGTGATAACACCGACATATAATACTTCCTCATATTTGGCAGATTTAATCCTCCTTTCTCTTTTGTTGTTACATAAAACTTAATTCTTGGTTTCTTTTTAGCCCATATAAACCTCCGTATCAATTTTCTTCTTATCCTAAAAAAAGATCCTGGTAGATATACTGGGAGCTTTTGAAATTTATACAGGATTTTTGGGACTATCACCATCTTAACCAGATTTATACACCCAATCCATGAGACCCGCCCCATTGACAGTCTTCTCAACTCATCTTTAATTTCATTTATTAATGGAATATAGTTGACTTGGTATAAGTTCTTTATTGAGGAGGTTAACTTTATTCCCAGGTAGCCTAATTCCCTCTCCCTCCATGTAAATGGAATGTCTTCTTGCAGGGTCTGCATCTCTACCTTTCAAAGGTTAATAGTTAAGATCTCAGATTTTGAAGGGTTTATTTTCAGGTTTGACAGCCCCCCATATCGTTTTAATAAGCCCAATAAATTATGCAATGTCAGTCTAGGGTTCACAATGTAAAACAGCATATCATCTGCATACGCTGCCACCTTATGTTCTACTCCTCCTATCTTAGTTCCTGTAATATGCGTGCTCTTTCTTACCAAAGCCAAAAGTGGTTCCAGGGATAGGACAAATAGCATCGGGGATAATGAACATCCCTGTCTAGTGCCATTATATATTTTAAAGGTCCTTGATAAGGACCCATTCACCTTGACTGCTGCTGAAGGGCCGTTATAAAGCCCTTTTATCCACCTTACCTTTTTGGCCCCTATTCCTAATGCCTCTAGCGTATTTATCATAAATCCCCAATCTACCCTATTGAAAGCTTTTTTTGCGTCAATCGACAGTATAATTGTTGGCTGCTTTCCTTTTTTTGCTTTTTGTAAGAGGAGCAATGTTCTTAGACTATTGTCTCTCCCTTCCCTCCCTGGAATAAACCCCACTTTATCTAGATGTATCCACTCCAGCATCAGCTCTTTCATCCTGGTAGCTAGCACTTTCGCAAATAATTTTGTATCAATACTTAATAGTTATTTAGGTCTATAGCTGGCGCATTGTGAACTATCCTTCCCTTCTTTAAGGATAACTGTTATATATGCATGTAGTGATTCTTCTCTCATTTCCATCCCCTCACCTAACTCATTCATATATCTACAGAGTCTAGGGACCAATAACTCTTTACATCTATAATTATCTTATAATATACCCACCGTATATCCATTAGGACCTGGGCTCTTTCCTCCTTCCATACTCTTCAGGGCCGCTCTAATTTCATTCTGGGAAATTACTTGTTCTAAGGCTACTAATTTATCTTCTAATATTCTTGGTAGGTGTGCCGCCTTTAAAAATTATTTTCTTTTCCTTCTCTTTTCTTCCTCTATTATTTTCTGATTTGTAGGGTTCACCTCGTAAAGCCTACTACAAAACGTTTGGAACGTATTAGCGATACCAGTGGTGGAGTATACCAATTTACTGTTATCTTTATTTTTTTCTATATAATTTTTTGATTTCTTATCCTTCAATATTTTCATCAGATATTTTCCTGGTCTATTCCCCCACTGGTATCTTTCCTTTGATACTCTGTTAAAGACTTTCCTTGTTTCCTGTTCCAATAGATCTTTCAGTTCTTCTCTTTTAAGGGTAATCTTCTGATGTAAATCTATATCCTGCTTTTTTTTAATGTACCTGTTCTAATTTCTATAACACTTCCCTTACCCCCTTTATTTTCCTGTGATGATCGTGGTATCAGACCCCAGCCCTTCTCACCAAACTCGTGACTGAAGGACTAGCCAATCTAAGACTACGTTGTCACGTGCATAACAATGCCACGCCCAGCTGCACCCTGCACAAAGATTTTCCAGCTAATGGACCACAGCCTGTGTGCCGGCAGCCTGGGAACGATTGTTACTGGGTCAGGTTAATTACGCAATTAACCCTTCATACTGCCACCACCTCCTTTTTGTACAGAGAAAGAGGAAACTCAGCAATATCAACAATAACACTATGATGTTTGCATAAGCGTCGGTATGTCACTGTCACCACAGGCATAGATATACCGAAGTTTAA